TCTCTCTCTCTCTCTCTCTCTCTCTCTCTCTCTCTCTCTCTCTCTCACACACACACACACACACACACACACACACACACACACACACAGAAAATACGCACACTAGCAGTGTCCAAGACTACTCACTATTAACCATTTCTCTCTCTCTCTCTCTCTCTCTCTCTCTCACACACACACACACACACACACGGACAGAAAATAAGCACACTAGCAGTGTCCGAGACCATTCACTCTCAACCATTTCTCAAGATCTGAGTGTAGAACTTACAATGCGGCCGCTGCTGCAGGGGCTGCAGGAGCTGCAGGGACAGCTAGGGCTGCAGGCGATGGACTTGCTGTCGCAGGCTCCGGTTGTGGAGAGCTGGAAGCAGGGGAGCTACAAGAACGACAAGCTAAAAGTTGTCAGATTCCCATAACCCAAATAACCTCAATTGCTCACATAGATAATAAGACGGATGCCACAAGACTAGATGGTCTCAAAGAAAACGACCCTTTCTTAACATAACAAACAAATCAGTTATTAGCAATCTTGTGAAAAGCATCGTCTGGCACAAATCGACCACCTATCTTGCAGCACACAGCCACGTATCAGATGCACGCACAGTGAAAAGCTCACTCCACGAAGCCTTTTCAGTGAATTCAAACTGCTAACATTGTGGATAGATCATAGGAGACCAAGTTACTTATATGTGTTCAAAACAATGACATTCTTCTGGCAACACAACTACAATCTCACAGACCTGCACACCAAACCTTCGTATCAAAAAGGAGGAAGTCAGATAAAGCAATTGAAGCAAAAGGCACCACAACTACAATCTCACAGTTATGCTCAGAACTCCCACTTGATGGTCATTATGCCTGGTCACCTGAACAAGGCAAAGCGTTGATAAAACTAATAACTGCCATCTTCTCCCAAATAATATTTGCAATGTTGCCATCCCGAATGCCACTTTCAAGCCAGGTACATCAAAATGTTCCAAACAATGTCCATAGTACTCCATACACGTTATACGTTACACCTGCTGTTGATGGATGGTAACCTGGTACCCACGGGTTATTTTTTTAAGGTGCACCCGTCAACTTATTTTTCACATCAACCTCTAGCTCCAATACATTTGAAGTTAGCTTGTTCTTCCTTACTGCGCAGTTGCATACCATTTGCAGGTGTTTCCACTTCTTTTCTCGTTATGCTCACTGTTCTGACTTCGGCACTCGACATCCCCAAATCCACAATCGAACCCCCCCCCCACTGAATGCCTGTATGATTAATTTTAGCCTCTTTTCCTGAGGCCCAGATGGTATCCCAACCACAAGCCTACAACAGCGTTGTGTCTCGTTTCCCATCAGACTCCGAAACATCAATCCGGAAACCAAGAAACACAAAGGGAGATAAGCCCGTAAAGTCTCCATAGCAGGCCAGCAGCACTGCATTCACAATTCACAGTGGACACTGCACGCCATTCTATCGCAAATTTTGCAATAGAATTCCACTGCGAATTGTGAATGCAGTGCTGCTGGCCTGCTATGGAGACTTTACTGGCTTATCCGCCTTTGCTTTCCTGGTTTCTGCATTGCTGTTTTCAAGTCCAATGGAAAAGGACTCAACGTGCATGGCTGCCACAGCCAGGAGAAGCTAGGCCCCACCATGGACACTCGGCGATTCCAGAGTTGACTACTCTCACAGGTTCATCAAAGTAGGTTCAGAATTTTCAGGTGGTTTCACACGGAAAATTGCTACATCGGACGCATAGGAAAATAATACACAGGTGCTAAGTGCAGGCTTTATAGACCCCACAATACAGACTGTCAATCAGTGAGTGCGCAAACTGCGACTTAAGAGTTTAGGTAACAGAGGAACATACGGTTCAACAGCCATAGGTACTGCTTCTGATGCCGCCGCAAGAGGAGCTGGAGAGGCTACCATGGGAGAACTAGGGGCCGGCCGTGGTTGTGCCTGCAAGACACACGAATTGCAGAATAATTAGATTCCGAATGGGACAAATCAAACTTGCACATCGCCCCACTTATCTTGCCAAACGCAGCATCATTTTCCAATCTCTACCATATTTTGAATGTAGACCAGCAGAGCTCTTTCAAATATGCCACATTCGTGGCACTCGGCAGGGGAGGAGTTATAGGCACAGCTCACAATTCCAACGTATGTTCACAATAGGCACAGCTCACAATTCCAACGTATGTTCACAAATAACATTTCTTGCGCTAGAAAAGAAAAACAAAGGGGGGTTTACTTCCTTCATCATTCACATAGATTCCAGATTGCAGTAGCCTGCAGAAGCCTTCAAGGCACACCTAAACTCACAGTCGCTAAGAATACAACTAGCAAAGAGAAAAAAGAAAAAAGAAAAAAGCAAAGAACACCAAACCTCAGAAGTCTCGATGGCCACCTAAACTCAGTGGCCAAGAGCAATGCTGTCGAGAAATTGGAAGAACCGCAAATCTCAACTTCATAACCACAAACAACTACTCACACATCGATGCAGTGCTGTCAAGAAATTGAAAGGACCAGCTACACATTCTGAACAAGCACGTGCACTTGAGTCATGCATCAGAACGTTCACACCATGAACCTCAAACGATCGCAAGATTGATTAACATTGGAAAGATCGCAAGATGCTAATTACAGCTTTTTCTGCTTTTATTGCCATTTCAGGACAGATTGCCAGAGGAAGTGGACAATAACAACACACTTCGCACAAAAGAGGAGCCCTTCATGATCGACGCCAACGCCCCTTTCTGACTCATCAGCAAGGCCATCACCACCACCCCTGCGCACATAAAGCTGCTGGCTGTGGGAACTCAATCCAACAAGAGAGTTCAGGGTTTACATTCAATTTGAAGACGCATTCGCTTATAATGTACGCTTGCTTCCACCAACATCACCAGAGGCAATCAGGTAGGGAAATCCAAAACCAGTATAGAACGGCATAAGAATACTTCCATAGCAGTACCTGAGGTACAGCAGGAGCTGCTGCACTTGAGGACGCTCCCGCAGCCGGAGTCTTACTCTGCAATGCCCAATGAAGGAAACACAAATCAGTCAAAGAGGGCATTGCAGTTCATTTGAAGCAACAAAATGTGAAGCAGCACTACCGTCTTCCCCCGAATAGAACATAAGGTCATTATTACATCAGCATTTGGGAGAACTTTCAGTCTCAATACAGAAGTAACTACCGTGCATTCTATCCCCGGGGGGGGGGGGAACAGTTCCGCTAGTGTTCAGACCAGATCGTCCAAAGTAGGAAATTCGCAGTCCGTCATCGGACATTCAAGTAAATCCGAAGTTTTTTCCTCAAACTCAATCAGGGAGCAACGTCGAAAATCAGAAATTGACAGTTCGTCATCAAAAATTTACAGTCAACCTAAGTCCTTCTCTCAGCTCAACTATGGATCCCAATTCGCCAGACTAATTTTGCAAGGCTAGGCGACTTGCACTCGTACCATTCCAAGGCAGTTTGTAACCTTCATGGGCCCATCAGTCCGCCCTGAGTCTGTTACACAATCGTCTCCATTTCTCCACGGTTACATGTTTGTCCCACAAGATTCGGGACCAAGAGGTAGACCCCCCCCCGAGGGGTTTCAATACCAAGTCCCAAACCGTACAACAAACACGGCAGCAAACCCATGGCACCAGCCACAGTTGGCATGCACGACAGGCTCCAACTCATGAGCACACCATAACGCACTCTGCATCTTCAGGTGTGTTCCGGCCTTCCGAGCGGCGACAAATTCATCCACTCTGAGCACCATCCTGCCGTGATGGTTCAAACTTCAAAGTGAATGAACTTGTGTTCACACAGAAGCCCGGTACATCCCTAAAGAAGCAGTGTGTGCGCAGCTGCGTTTTGAAAATTTGCCTGTGAATAGAAGGATTCACGCTGGAGACACCCAGTCAGGGTCCCAGGGTCCCAACAAGTCCCAAGTCCCAGGGCCGTCCCCTAGGGCAGGCTGTAGGGTCTAGAGGTCAAAGTGTCATAGGCCGGTAGGTGTCGGTACCGAAGCGTCGCAGGTCGGTAGGATTCCATCCTGTCCCCGACAAGAGAAGCCCAGAAGCGTCCAGTCCAGTCGGACAGTCCAAATTTGCAGCATGTCCCAGGAAAGTCCGGAAGCTACCGGACCGACAAAATGGTTGCACCAGACAGGCTGCGGCCGACCGGTACTGGTCTGAAGCAGGCCAAGCCAAGCCACGAAGCCAAGTCCTATATTTAGCTGCTACAGTGCAGCGGCTCATCACTTGTTCGGTTGCAAGATGAGGAAGCGCTGCTGCTGCTTGTGCATTAAGGCAACTTGGGCACTGTGCGCCTAAGAAGAGGGCGCTTGGGAGATACTCCATAGCTAGGCTAGCGGTAGAGCAGGAGGACGGTGGCGTTAAGGCAACTTGGGCACTGTGCGCCTGAACAAGAGGGCGCTTRGGAGATACTCCATAGCTAGGCTAGCGGTAGAGCAGGAGGACGGCGGCCATAGCCGTCAAAGTGTAAGCTACCTGAGTGGGGGTATCCACGGTGACGATCTGGGTGTAAACTACGGATACGGGATCTGACACTCTTTGTGTGTCTGACATTCTTCAACATCTTCGGTTTATTGTTTTTCTTCTTTTTTCTTTTTTAAAAAGGATGACGGCCTTGAGATATTATCATTGAGCTGACCGGCCCCAAGCAATTCATTAGTAGTTGGCTTTACTCGTCTACTCGTCAAGTTCCATCATCTGGATTCGAACACAGGTCTGTATTTCAACAGTTCATGGGTGTACCCACTGAGCTAGGCTCTTGGGTTCAACATCTTCGGTTTATTGTTAATAATACATATTTATATACAGCGGATGGCCTTGTTCGTCGTCAAGACGTCGGTATTCCTATGGGTAGAAACGCTGGTCCTGAGATTGCCAATCTTACACTCTATTGGGATGAGGCACAGTACGTGGACAACCTGCAGCGTGTGGATCCCTCTGCAGTTCGCCGATATGTTTTCACTTATCGGTTCATTATTGATGTTCTTACCTTTGGTTGTCTGCCCCCATCGCCAACCAATTATGGTCTTGAATGGAAGGAGACCACTGCGGCTGATGGCTCGTGCACCTTTTTAGGTGCGAAACTGCAGACACGAGCAGACGGATCTCTCCGATTGAGTGTGTTTGACAAGACTGTTGCATCGGATTTTCCTGTTATACGATATCCTAGTGCAACGTCAAACATTCCGTCTCATCAGCCTGCAGGTGTGTTCACCGGCCACCTTACGCAGTTGATTTGTGACAATTGGCATGATTTCAGAACTGCGGCAACCATGCTTGTCCGCCGTTTGCTTTCCCGTGGCCATCCTCCTTTGACATTGGCCCGAGGATGGACTTGTTACATTCGTGCTCGCCAACGTCAACAACTTATACATGTAACTCGTCTTACACAATGGTTTCAATGTATGCTTCGCTGGTCCGTGCATCATCCTCTTCCACCTTCTCCTCCCCTTTCCGTCACTTCTTCTCCCTCTCCGTCTTAGACAATGGTTTCAATGTATGCTTCGCTGGTCCGTGCATCATCCTCTTCCACCTTCCCCCTTCTTGTCCACCTTCCCCTCCTCTGTCTTCCCCCTCTTCCTCTCCACTTCCCCCTTCTCTCCCTCCCCCTCCTCCTCCTCCTTCCCCTTCCACTTCCCCTCCACCTTCCTCTCCCCCTCCCTCTCCCCCTTCTTGTCCATCTCCCCCTCCTGTGGCTTCCCCCTCTTCCTCTCCACTTCCCCCTTCTTCTCCCCTCCCCCTCTTCCTCCTTCCCCTTCCCCTTTCACTTCCCCTCTGCCTTCTTCTCCCTCTCCCCCTCCCCCTCCATCTCCTTCCTCTTTGCCAGCATCCTCTTCTTCTTCGTCGTCTTCTTCTTTGTCTTCGTCTTCATCTTCTTCTTCGTCATCCTATTCTTCTTCTTCTTCTACTCCTCCATCATCCGTTTCATTGTCTTCTCCCTCTTCTTCTTCTTCTTCGTCATCATTTGCCCCCCCACGCCTGCCGAGATCGGCCCCTCCTTCGTCTTCGTTGTCTATATTGGGATGTCGGCAGGTTCATTCATTCTCTCCTCCTCCCCGTCCCCCTTCCTCTCGACGCCGTGTTGATGATAATCTGCAGGGTTCTTTCAGCCTGCTCTGCCACATCGATGGCGTTTGTCATTCACGCGCCGACCCCGCCAGATCAGACCTAGCTTTCCAGTGGTGACCGAATCGGATCTG